TTCTGTGACTCTCATCACCGGTGCACCTGAGAACCTTCTTTGTTCCTCGTCACACTCTCTAGTGGGAAGGGGAACATGAAGTTTTAAATATAGATGCTCCATGATGTAGAGCTTGTGACTCAGGAGGGGAAAGAATTGACATCTTCAAAATCTTTCCTTAGTGTCCCACTAATCAACCTTCTTCCTATTCTTAATCTTGGTGGTAATGGTGTAACAAATTCTATATTACAGTGGGAACATCAGGCTGTGTCTGCTTTGCTGGAGTTGATCTATGATGTGAGTGATAGCTGAGCTGGATGCATGGGACTCTGTAAATGTTGGAGGGGGGTCTGGTATGAAGACTGCAGAAATATATGAACAGACTCTATGTTAACATCCATTATCTTTTAACTAGCAAGGCTTGTAATTGTTATGGTTGAAATTTGGAGTTTGAATTGGCTTTTGTAGCTATCCCTGTATTATAAATTGTACAAGATTTCCAGCTTCATTAGTATGAATATTAAAGAGCCAGCTTTAAAATTATGGTTTTATTATAATTATTTTTTTTATTGAGATCGTTCTGAATGTTGGTAGCTATGTTGTTAGCAAAATAGCAAATAACAGCACTATTGCTCTTTTTTTTTTTTTTTTTTTTTAACGAAAATTAAGTGTAGGTCCTTTGTACATAATAAATAAGGTTATGATTTGAAAATGTTTCATTAAATTACATTAATACATCTTCATAGACATGGATCATGTCACACACAGTTGTTAGGTTCATTGTTAATCAGATTCCTCTCATTAACACACTGTAGTTAAAAAAGAATTACCCTATAACTGACTATATAATGTTAAGTGTAATTTCTGAAGCTACTGTATTATGCTGTCCTAAGTACCTTGGAATTGCTTATTTAATGGAATATTCAGCCCTTAAAAATACATCCTTCCCTTTCTACTGTTACTTTCACAAAATGTTTTAAGAAGAAACACAGCCATACTGTCCTTTAAGGAGAAGGTTGAAGTTATTAGACGTTTGAGAGATCCTGATCAGTGAATGCCAAATCTAAACTTGTCATGACTGTACTTATAATAGCTGAACTTTCCACCTCCCCAGGAGTGGCCTGTCTTGCTACACTTATTCTACCTGACCTACTTTTCAGCTCTGCACTTAAAGATGTTAAAAAAAAACCACCCTGAATCCCTTGAACGAAGACAGAAATAGTTTCCATATTGCTGAATCAACATAAAAATGATCCATGGCTGGGCACCTCTCCCTACAGATTTCCATAGAAGGGATTTTTCTGTTGGAGCCCTAGACTGTTTCTATCCACACCTGTTCACTAGATGAGGAATGTCATTACAAGGCAGAGATGCACAGACCACATGGCAAGTTGCTGAGATTGATGCTTTGGTTTGAGGGTAAAGAAAATGGGGAAGAAAATCTACTGTCTTGCAAGTATTCAATAAAAATCTGTGTTCATCCTGTTGTACTGTCTTTGTTTGCAGGGGGCTCCAGAATACAGAGTTATGTATGAACTGCTAATATAAAGGGTCAGCGCACAAGGTCAAGCGCAGTCACACCATTGTCCGTAAAGCCTACCCAGGATAGACTTCCTGGAGAGTTTTCTGGCTTGGTTCAGGGACAGATCATACCAATGTTTTTGCAACAGGCAGGCTGATCAAGAAGTACTTCTGAGAGTAGAGGGGGTCGGCCTAGCTTTCTGGGCATCAGTCATCCCATCCTGGGACAGCCCCTGGCCTTTTTACTTATCCACAGAGACTTGGCATCAGGATACTTAATGATAACAACATCCTGTGCCTTTATTTATGAGTCTGACTAGGACAGTGATGAATATGGTTTTAAAACCACTAAAAATTGCCATGTTCTTCCCTTACTCAAGGCTTGAAAATTATTTGGACGTGTGTCCAGGCAAGTAATTGTATGCAGGACAATTCTCTGAAACCAGATCCTTGTGCCCCTTTTCTTACAGATAATCCCTTTTATCATACCAAATGGGTTGGCTCCCAACCCAACATCCAAATCACATATTGGGAACGGTCTTTGGTCCATGCTAGCCTTTGTTTTGAGCCTAAGGATTCTTTTCAGATAATGTATGAACCCAAACTATGCCAGGACTGTCAACACTGGTGATGTTCATGTTCCCTTGCCTGGGACTTACCCCAGCATTATTCAATTTATTGGTATAGATGATGCCTAAAGAACCTCAGTGAGTTTTTGTTGCTAGATAAGTAATATTTTGATTTGATTTGATTTTTTTTTTCTAGATTGGAAGAGACCTCAAGATCATCGAATCCAACCTCTGACCTAACACTAACAGTCCTTCACTAAACCATATCCCTAAGCTCTACATCTAAACGTCTTTTAAAGACCTCCAGGGATGGTGACTCCACCACTTCCCTGGGCAGGCTAAGTAACAAATCATAGTGTTCAAATGAAGAAGTTAAAGACTGTCATTTCTGTTTTACACCTTGGGAAAATAAAACTCATAGGACCAAATCCTCAGAAATTGGTGGGAGTTATGCCTACAAAAAGTCAATATTATAAATACTTTTTGAAATTTACAGCAAATAGTCTCTATACAGTGGAAAGGATTTATGGGCTGAATGCGGTAAGTTTCTCCCACAGAAGATGCACTAGACAAGTTTTGAAATGTGCTTTTGTTTACCTCAAAGAAATAAGTTATGGCAAAAGGAAAGACTGGGGTAGGAGAAGAGTGTTCATGCTGATGCAGAACACGGGCTTGCTAACAAAGTCTGACAATGCTCGTTAGCACTGAGCAGCACAAGTCTCTTGTGTTGACTTCACCTACCTGTCAGCACTGCTACCAAATCAGTTATTTCCCCTAACCAAATCACTTTACTTCTCCATTCCTTTGGCACACCATAAACTAAAGGATATAACACTCTTAAGGTCTCCAGATGCAACTGTGACACAAAGGTTAAACATGGACTTAATCCATGTTCTAAACACAGAGGACTTTTTTTCAATAAATGTATGGTTTATAGGCAGCTTTTCATCCTCCATGGAATTGCTTCACTTTTAGAAGCTTCAGCAAATGTTTTGGCTTTTGCATGTGCATAATTCTGTTAAATGAAACAACTAGTGTATGGAGGAACTGGTTTTTAATGCCAAACTTTTACTGGGAAATGAGGAGGAAGTACTGTCTTAACAGTAGTCATGTCCTCTGTTTCTTCTTCTGCTGTGCTGAACCAGCACTTTGAAATGAGTGCATTGCCAAAGGACAAATCCTTCTTTTTTATATCGTGGTGATTCTGCATTTTTCAAAGCAGACTCACAAAGGTGTGAATTAGCGGGGAGGGAATGCAGTCATCCAGCAGCAGCATTCCACTACCATCTGCTGGTAGGAGAAACAGGGATTTACCTGGGACCCCCCCATATCTGTATTCTGTCCATGAGAAGCAATTTAGTGGATTTTTAATTAATTACTCATGTCAGTCAGAAGCAATCTACTAATATCAGACATAACTTAACAAATGAGCTCCTCACACCTTTCAGTAAATGTTATCTATCAGATTCAGTCAGAATGGCCCAGTTTTCATTAGTGAACACTATGTCCAGGAATCAAGGTCCTGTCTGACTAGTAGCATAAGCTTGGTGTACCTCTAAGTGTGAGAGCCTGGAAAAGGACAAGCAGTTTTGCAACACGAATGTCTGGGCCAATATGACTTCCTTCTGGCAGATGCAAAATTCAAAAAAGTCATTAAATGACCAAGTGTTATTTAGTTATGGAGCTGTGAATACAGGCAGACCCTCAGAGGGTCAGTTCCAAAATACCTATGGACTTTCAGGTCATCTGCAGAGCATTTGATCGTTCTAGTGCATCTTATGAGCCCTGATTCTGCAAACTACATTTTTAATTATGCACTTTTGTTCCTGTCCCATTGGCTTCAATGTTTGTAGGGTTTACATGCTTTGTTGAAGTAAGGTCATGTTGCTGGCTTTAGCTTAAGAAGTCATTATGGCTTAGCCTAGAGTGCAGCTGTGTATATCTGCAGAGGCACTCAAACTATCTGTATTTGGGCTAGCATAGGCACAGGCAGAAATTACCATGTTTCAGTGTAGGTTTCAAAATTGATACCTGAACTAATTGCTAAAACTAGTTCAGACTCTCTGCATACGCTACAACCATGATTCTGACAGATCTAGCTGATAAAGCACATTATCCTCTTAGCTCTTTTCTTAACTGACATTTATCAAAATCCTTTTTGAAAACGTATATGACGACTGAACTTTACATTCTGGCAAAGTTATCAGCAATGCTGTGTATATTACTGTAATGCTTTCTAAGCTCTAATTAATATTATACGATATTTATAATGATAGAGATGAATATAGGCCACTTTTTAGTAAGGTTTAACTTTCTGTTGTCATGTGGAAGGTCTTTGGATGATTATAGAATTGTTATTTGCTTATCTAGTACAAATGAAAAAATTACAAGGTAAATACCCCTTGTTACTACTCATCGTAACTTTCACAGAAATACTTGGAAATTTTAAGTTTGTTATAAGACTCTGAAAAGCGAGATATATAGTATTATTAGAGATCTTTTTACCTTTTCCTCTAACTAACAAAAACACACATTATTTTTCTTAAAAGTCTCCAAAAGATCCAAATTATATGTGCTTTATGAATTGTGCCTATAGGCTAGGTAGTCTATGTAGCACTTTGTCCTTTTCATATAACTGATAAAAATAATACTTACTACAGTATTACAGAGTTGTCAAACATTCACTTTATAAGTTTAATTAAAACTTAATCCTAACCATAGGGATATCTTACAGGGTCTATTGATGATAAAGCATCCTTACTTTCTAATTTAACACCATTTCAGTCTTTAAATATTTATATACTGCAGGTTGATGACTATTATTCTTGGAATGAAATGATCTTCGCTATTAAAATAAACCATTAAGTATTAATGGTTTATTAATTTTACTCTTGTGTTTGTGCTGTTAATTCTCTGGTGTCTGCTATAGTCTGAAACTTATAGCTAAAACTCTGCAAGCCTCCAGGTTTTGTTTGGTATTTAATATTGCTGGGAGCCCTCATGGATTATCACGTAATTCAGCATCCCATTCAGACTTGTGATGACTGCATGGGTACACTTAGAGGCGTCACTGGGGATTTGGGGTGCAGTTTTGTGTTCAATTTCATCTGATGTAACCTACTTTCCCCTTTCTGCCCTCACATATTCCTGCCCCTCCCTCACACAGAGTCTAGTGATCATGCGAATGTGTGGTGAGTTGACATGGAAACTAACCACACACATGAAAAAAAAGAAAAAGATTTGTTTTCTGCTGGTTTAGCAAACAGACCAGATTCTTCAAGGTGATTGTTAGATCTGATGCAAGGTAGCTGGGGGTGGGAGCAGGCTAAACTTGGACATCTTTTGGTGGCTGCCTGCTATGATATTGAGGTAAGTGTAATATAATGTTATGATTACAGGTATTTAACTTTTTTACCATTCCCTTTCTCCTGAATTTGTTGCTTCTTGCAATTGTGATGGGATACAAGAAACACAGGTTGCCAAAAAGTACCAAAATCCTAGAAATGATGCTGAAATACTATATGAAGTGCACAAAGCACACTCTATTTTTCATATTTCATATATTTCATTTCTCAGACAGAAAATATAGCAAATATCTACTGACATTCATTAACTAGGAAATTTTAATCAGCACTGCAAAGCTTGGATTTTTTTTTTAATGGTCTCAGTATTGAAAGGTACATCCTTCGACTCCTAAATATTTCTTCCAGTAGCAGGAGCAATGTGATGTTTTCAGTGCCTTCTGGTTCTACTTTCAGAAGCTTTTTTTCTGGGAATCAGGCCTAGATTTTATCCCCAGAATATCGGGACATTGAAGCCTGGAGCAGTTAAGACCTAGATATTCAAAATTATTTATGTACCTAAATCTCATGGGCTTTAATTTACTTTATGTCTGCCTTTGAAAGAGGTTCATCTTCCAGCAATCCCTGAGAATTTACTAATTTACTATATTTTAGAAGTGAAGACTTCTCAGGCATCTCCTTTTAATGAACTGAAATTAGTTATTTTGCTATTAGAAGTATTAGTATTAGAATGGCTTAGGTTGGAAAAGATCATCTAGTTCCACTACCCTCCACCCTGGCAGGGATGCCACCCACTAGATCAGGTTGCCCCGGGCCCCATCCAACCTGGCCTTGAACAACTCCAGGGACGGGGCATCCACAGCTTCTCTAGGCAGCCTGTTCCAGTGCCTCACCACCCTCTAAGGGAGGAATTTCCTCTTAACCTGCAATCTAAACCTCCCCTATTTAATTTAAAACCATTCCCCCTTGTGCTGTCATTATGTGCCTGAGTAAAAGGCACATATAAGGCTCTCCATCTTTTTATAAGCCCCCTTTAAGTATTGAAAAACTTCAATAAGGTCACCTCAGAACCTTCTCTTCTTTAGGCTGAACAGTCACAGCTCTCTCAGCCTTTCTTCATAGGAGAATCTCATACTCATGAACCTTCAGGCTCATACTAGAGACTCTGTTTCTTAATCCATCCTGCAGGCCTGTTCCAGATGCAATACATTTTTGTGAACTGCTTTATTTATGTAATTTACCTCTTCACTCCCATCTGATGACGTATCACATTAAATATGTGCTGCTGAAAAGCACCAGAAATGTGAGATGTTTTGATAAAAATCAAAGTTTGTGTTTCTTAAATGCCAGCTTGATTTTTTATTTCTTTTTTTTTTTTTTTTTCCTCTCCATGTTTGGTTTCTCATTTACAGGAAACCCAAAAAACATTTGGACACAAATTAAAACCTCAGCAGAGAACAAAAGTTATTTTTCCTCTCATGTTCTCTATAGAAAACCAGGAGAAATGCCCACTCAAGTGTAAATTCATAGACTGGTCAATAAAGATTTGTAGTAAAGATTTCTTTTAAGATTTGTAGGACACTTTCAATCTAATCTTGCTTTCTGCACAACACATGAAAACAAACCTGCCAGTTATGAGTTACACACAACCACCAAAAGAAACACTTCTGTGGGAAAATGTACACATGAAACCCACTTACAAATGAAATTCACAAGAACTGCTTATAAGCCCAGCATTGAAAAACTGAACTCGTAGATACTTGAATACCTACGGCTGCTACTTTATGTCGTCAGAGTGTTTTACAGATGGTAGATCGGATATCTTCATGTTTTTGAGGAATCTTAGGCAAGACAGTGGTATCATCACCCCAAGGCCATGCAACAAGCCTATAGCAGAAACAGGGTTTGACCCCTATATTACAGCACTTGATTCTGTGTGTTCCTTTGGATTTGTGGGGAGTAGAAGCTTACAGTGTGGGACTCCTTTCTTTCTCCAGGTCTCCATTGGCTCATTAGGAAGAAAAGCAGGAAAAATTGTTAGCAGTAATTAGATATTCAATTCATGGGTGTTGACCAAGGAGGTATGTCAAAATCCATGTAGTCTCCTCTCTGCTTGCTGAATGCTACTGGGGAGTTCAGACTCCCAGGAAATATAGTCCTAGAGCACAGATATGAAGCAGAAAGTCCAACAAACAAGTTTTCTATGTTTTCTAGGTTCTTTGATACCAAACCATCACAGAGACAGTGAAATGGAGCTGGCATGCCACCAGGTCACAGAGCTCATCACACCAGTGTGCACCTGGGATTATGGAAAATCTGACCACCTTCTCTGCTTATGCGGGGCACTGACTCTTCCAGACTTCTCTTCACAAGTCTCAAAAGTCAGCAGCTGCTTTTTCAAACTCTAAAAGTCTGTATTTGGTTAGGTTTTCAAAGATCATAGGATTTCTATACAAAGATGTGGAAAAACATTAAGAGCCAGTATTGATAGCGGGGAATAGTTAAACATTTGCCTATTTCTGCTTTTCCTTTCATTTTTTTTCTTCTTTTTCTCTTCCATTTTTCTGCACTTAGGAAATTTTCTAAGCTTTTATTTTTCTTCTGAAATGAAGCATTGTAATTGTTTCCCCTAAATTTTGAAATTTCCCCAGCTTTTTATTAGGTCTTACCCTGTTGTAACTCTGCCACTAGACTGTGACTAATGAAGCTACATCTGTGCTCTTACTGCTTTTTTTTTTTTTTTTTTTTTAACTCATACACACTTGGAAACAGTCCATGTGGGCAGTTCAGAGAGGAGGGCTCCAATACTGAACACTGAAGTGAAGACTAGGGAAAGTCACTGCTTTAACAAGTTTCCATAGACTTTCTGTGTTGTCACTAAGCACATAGGAGAACTGCCAGCATCCTTCCAGCTACACAGCTTCTGGCTGCAAATATCTGGTCTAAATCATGAAATCATGAATGCCCTCTGTCTGTTTGTCATGGACCCTCTGCCAAAGACATCTTTCAACATGGGCTGCAGGTGGAGTGGTGTCCAGGAGAAGTACTGTCTGATCTGTACTAGGACACTTAAAACAGCCCAAATACTTAAACTGAAGCTGACCTGGATTGGAGGAGGGAGAACCCACATGTTCTGCTACAGCAGCAGAGCTGGCAGGTGGTCTCCTGCAGCTTGTGGGCAAGGGCAGTCAGCACAGCCAGCTCTAGATGAGGAAGGAATCTCTGCAGGCAGTGCACATCGTGCTGCACACAGCATGCATGGTTGGGGTGGGCAGTTTTGTGCAGCCTTGGCTACCTTGGCTTTCTCACCACTGTGTGGGGACAGTGCAGGTAAGCCATGGGAAATCTGTTGAAAGGGGGAAAGGTATAGATACAAACCTCATACTTCACTATTTGAACAGTAAAAAGTACATTAAAATTATGCTAGCGTATTTTCATCCACAGAACTCCCTATATAACCTGTTTTATCTTGCAAATGTTTGGTGAGCCAAGAATACCATCTCAGCCTAAAATGTTCTGTAATACCATTAATACGAGCTATTCTCCTTTACTGTTAAAACATCAGCATCAGGATCACACCAACAACCCTTCTTCTACCTGATGAGCATTTAAAAGGATTTATATCAGTACAGGTTAGTTTTAGCAGCACAACTTTGTTTAGGGATGTGATGCTTCCACACACCTACCTGTACTTGTTAATATTGATAACCCAGACTGGGTCCAAAGCATAATATAATTTTCCCTAGGAAGTAAAAATAAGGTTTAAAGTGCCTTTTCAAAAGAAATACCATCCCCCCCAAAAACAAACAAACAAACGAAAAAACACTCCTGCAACTCCCACATAAGTTCCCCAACACAGCAATGTTAGTAAAAGAAATGTAGTCCAATTTCTTACACTTGTGCATTCTGAGAGTAGCACCTTTGGGGGCTATTCACAGGCATGAGGTGCTCTTCTTTACAAAATGATTGCTTTTGCAGCAGAGACCCAAACATTTCCCGTATCTTCTTGAACAATTACTATCAGCTTTGCTTGAGGGTAACACTTGCCTGTGCCAGGGTGGGGGCTGCAAGAGGAAAAGCAGGCCAGCGGTGTAACTTGCTGTTCCCTGTGGCCAGCGGGGACAGGATGTGTTCACATCTTCTTGCCACCTACATGTGCACGTGTCACCCTGAGCATGGCTTGGGGCCCTGGCAAAACTGGGGAGCTTGTGCAGCATAGCATGACTGGCACCCAAGGCACTTTGAGCTCTGGAGGTGTGGGAAGAGACTCTTTGGGGTGCAAAGAAACACGTTACACTTCAGCCTCTTGTATCTGAAGCTTTCTTGAGTGCTTGATGTTTATCAGGTTTTCATTGCAGCATGCGGTGTCAGCCACTTTTTTTTGGAGACGCTTTAAAGCAATCTCACCAGTATCTGATCTTCTCACTCTCTCAAGATCTGCCTAAGATCTCTTTTGCTTTCACTGCAAGGGTGAGAAAACTACAGAGTGTCAAGGATCTCTTCCTCACCTTGTTCGTCCCTCCCTCTGCTTCTTAAAATGCTTTTGGAAACTATTTTTAAGAGCAGCCAGCTGGAGTGGTGGAATCCCCATGCAGGGTCTTTACCTTTTCACCCTCCACCCATCCAGTTAAGACAGATGCCAAAACCTCAGGCTTGCCCTAGTTCTCTGTCACTTTCACTTGCTGAGGGTAGGAATCATTATATTTGATTCCTGCTCTTACACAATGCCCATCCCCGTGGTATCTGAACATCCGCTTCCTCTCACTTCCTCCCCCTCTAAGATTCCCGCTGGGTTAGTGTTCAGAGGCAACTGTGACTTGTATTCGTAATTAGACATAAAAAGGGAGAAGGGCTGTTTATAAAACCTCGCTTCTATGTGTCATGTGGATATTTCTGTGCTGCAAATCTCCGAATTGTTGTACAGTGAGTGATTATTGATTCCACTGTTTGAAATTCAAAACTCTGTTTTTCTCAGGAGTTCTGACAGTGTTTGACACAAAATGATTACTAGCTATGGATTTTTTTTTTTTTTTTTTTGTAACTAACACACAGAATTTAGTAAAATATTTAGATGTTATTCTATAAGAGAGTTCCAAAACCTACAAAAAAAAAAAAAGGGGGGGGGGGGGGGGAAGGAGGAATCTTCCTTTAGTACCTTGCATAAGATTTAGATAATTTCTGGATTAGCCTTGATTTAGGGCCTGATTCAGCAGAGCATTGTAGTACTGCTTACTTTGCTGAAATAAATAGTGATGGATCTGAGCACAGGCTTAGAGGTCATTACATGTTTGTGAATGAGATTTTTAACTAACTACCTTTAAAAGTCTGTCTTTAAGTACCTTGTTGAATTAGGGCCCTAAATCTGGTTAAATTATCTGTGGGCTGGATTCTCCAGTTTGCCAAGTTCATTTATTCCCTTTAGACTTCCTCCTGAGGTTTTCCTTGATCAGCTAATGTGTGTTGAAATACACCTTGTTCCGTCTGCTGTTGGCATTTAAAATGCATTCATTAAATACATTTGCTAATATGCTATTAAAGAAACGCCTTTTATCCTTCTAGAATCATGTTCTTGGTACATCTCTCATGATGCAATAGGTGCTGGGTACATTTCAAAGGGGTACAATTGTGTCTCACAGCATCGTGATGTAACAGGCTTCTCAAGTATCACCCTTCCATGCATGAGACAGGGCTGGGTTTATTGATGGGATGAGAGCATGCTTGATATATTGGCATGGGTTGGAGGAAGAGGTTGGTGATAACTGTTGCTAGGAGGTCATGCTTCGTCATGGTCCAGTGCCATGGGCCCTTTCCAGAGCTTCAGCCGACTCCTGGGGACATCCTGCAGAACAGGTTGACCAAGTACTTGTATCCCATGGACCTGTGAGGCTGTAAAAGCCTAAGACACAGCCCTAAAGGGTGAAAGGGAGAGCAGTGATCTCTCTGTATAGTGCCTGAAGCATCAACTCTGCACTGGGATGGACCTCATCACCAGAAGGTCTTAGACATGGAGGTGACCCTGGTCCAAAAGGAAGGGAGGACTGCTGTTGGACCTGCGTGACAAGGGACAGCACACCCTTCACCCCACAATGCTGGCGGGATGTCTCAGCCTGAGTAGCCCCCTTGGGATATCTCTGCCAGCCAATCTCAGCCCTCGGTGCCCACGCCTCATAGCTGAGCTTTGGGAGGAATGTGTATGCTTTATTGACCATGGGGTCGAATTTCACCCAGATTAAATCCCTTTGAAAACTTAAACTGGCTTGCTGATGAGCTACACAGAAATGCTTCCTGTGTACTGCATTACCATCTTTAGGTTTTGCCCTTTCTGAAACACAAAGCGGTCATGGAGGGATTTCAGATCATGTGGTGGATGGTAGTGAAAGAAACATTATCCTCCCATAACACAGGAACAGCTCAGTTGATTTAAGTCAGGTTTGGCTGAAGGATTCTCCATTAGATTTAGCTTTCCATGTTAAAACCCAGCATAAACAGTCTGGTTGACTGAACATTTCTGAAACTAGATAAGAACAGGCCAATGAGAAGAATCTTCTTTAGACCCATAACTGCATGGGTTATACTACTTCTCCTCATTTGTGCCATTTATCAGTATTTAATACAAATATATACACTGGCACAAAAGGGAAGAAGAGAACCCCACAGGACATGACTTCCAATTAGCAGGGGGTCACATCCCCCATTGTGATTTACTATTGGAAAAACATGCAAAAGATAATTGAACATTACACTTTCCTCTCCCCCTGCTGCTGGCAGCATTACGAGAAGGGCTGCTCTGGACCCCTCGGGGAGATGGGGAGAAGGGATCAGGCAATTACATGCAGCACCACATAATAACAGTGATTCATAACCTCGTGGCACTAAACTCACTGGGCCAGATCTTTAGCTAGTGCCCGCTGGTGTAGCTTCATTGACTACAGGAGGGAGATGCTGATTTACGTCAGCTGCAGATCTGGCCCATTTACTTTTTCTCTTTAAGAAGGCAATAAACTATGCAGAGAGAGAGCAGGATGTGCAGCACTCCACTCATCAGCCTGATGGGTTTCTGCAGAGGAATGCTAAATATCTGGTACATACTGACCGCTTCTGCACAGTCAGATCAGGTTATATTGCCCCTTGTGCCTCTACCATGTGGATTAAACTGTAAAATTTGCTATTTTGGACTTGAGGTACCCAAAGAAGCTGGAATGATTGTAGTTACGGTTAAGCTTCATGGAGCAGTCAAAGATAAATCATGCTCTGTATAGCTTTAAGAACAAGTTTTTGCTACCAGTAACATCACCTGGAGGTGCTGGCATCTTTAATACAGAGGATATTTCTTTAACCTGATCATTTTTTTATCTTGATTTGCCTTGGACTGACTTGGTTTAAGGGAAGAGAGCATAGTTCAGTCTAGGGACTGGGAGTCCCCCGTATTCTGCCTAGCTCCAGCAGTGACTTGCTGCATGACCTTGAGAAGGTCCCTCCATGGTCCTGTGTGTCTGACACTCTTTATTGGCTCTTGAGAAGAATTTTTTTTCCCTTTGTGCCACTGCCTGGGAATTTCTCAGCTTCCTCAGAAGACCAGGCAGTGCCTCTTTGATGAGATCCAGGCCAGACACAGCTGTCCCTCCTTTCGAGCTGAGACCACACGCAATCCACCCCAGCTCTGGGGTAGAAGAGGTAGCAGGAGGCTCTTGGCATCTGTGGTGGACAAGGGTCTGGGATGGACAGGGGTCTCTGCAGCTGTGCCAGCAATAAGGTTGCTACAAGAAGAAGACAGCTTGCACTAGGAGGAGTTGGGGACCTGCAGACTTTACTCACTCCTTTTGGCACAGGCTGGAAGGAGGAATTTTTAATGACAGGGTTTGAAAATGTTAGCAGATTGTACGTAGCTTGTGCCTGCTTTCACTAGCTGAACCAGCCAGTAATTTAATTACGTGTGTGGCTTGCAGCTAACTTACGCATGCCTCCCTGCTGCACGCCGCACAGCCTGGTGCAGGGGGGTGGCCCTGGGAAAGGCTCTGGGAAGCCGTGCCGAGCCGTGCCGAACCATGCCGAGCCGTGCCGAACCGCACGTGACTGCAAGGGCCAGGATTTATGAGTGGGGACCGCATTCAAGGACACGATAGTTTCCTCCCTTTGCCCGGGCTTGATGTGGTTGCAGGAATACGTAACAAACATGTCTGCTTAATTCTTTTGCTTTTAATGTGGCTTCCTGTTCTAGTCCCTCTGTCTGTACTGTGATGCTGTGAGCTCCTCGAGGCAAGCACCGCGGCTTTAAACGCTTTTGCTAAATGCTAATACACTTGTAACATTGCTGCCTGGTGAGCAAGATTGTCATGGTGTGAGCTGGCTATGAAACTCAGTTTCTCACTGAGTTTTTCTCAAAGAACCAGGCAGTACTGGGCTTGTAATTTGGTTACCTGCTCGGGTTAATTCGAGTGAATTGTGCTGATCTGTAGCAGCACCTGAAGGGGAAAAAACAGGAAGAGCAAAAGACAGTGTTGTCAATTCTGCACTTACAAATCATTTTTTGTCAAAAAAAAAAAAAAAAATAGTCAACTTAGAAATCATGATGTTTTAAAATAACTAATGTTGAGCTGTCTCAGCTGTTTTGGGTTTCATGCTTTCAGGCTTTCACTTCTTTCCTCTACCACCTCCTATCCTACAATCTTCTGACTGTTAAACTTCAGATTTTATTTTAATGAATATTGAGATAATCCAGAATTGCTTGATTTCAGGAGCTGAGTGATCAAGGAAAAAGCACACACAATACCAGAAAGTACAGGAAAAAAAAATGCCCTGAGCCTGCCCTGCCGCATTAGTATTTGCTGCTACTAGAGAAGTCCCAGGGAAGAACTAGACCCAGGCTAGATGTTGAGCCTGGGAATGGCAGGCAGTGGTGGTTCCAAGGTTTGCATTAGCATTATATACCAAGTGCCTTGAAATTAACCTTCTTAATACCATTTCACAGCATGGCAATGCTATTATTTCCATTTCACAGCTGGGGAACTGGGACATGGACACAATTAACAATTTGCCCAAAGTTACTCAGGCAGTCCACAAAGGAGAAAAAAAAAAATAAATCAGCACACATCTGAATCACAGGTCAGAGCCCTCATCGGTGGGCCATTCCTTCTCACTGACGAAATGAGCCAGAGAAGCAGGCTTATAATGCTGGGTTAGCTTCTGCAGGCTGAGATAGGGTTCAATGTAAAGAAGCAGTCAAATGTTTGGCTGCCTATCTGGAGGGTATTTGCACTAATAAAACTGCTGAGTCTGGAAAGCTGAGCATTTTCCCGTGTGATTGTTGCTGCTTCATTTTCTGGTCATGGTGGGAACAGCCTTTCTGGTTCTTAATGGAATTAGTAAAACATCCAAACATTTCATAACTTTAATGGCTGTAGAACTGGGAGAAACTCCAGCTGGTAAGAGTAGACATGGCTCCTGGTTTTCCAAGTCAGCTTGCCTTTTCTGTAGTAAGCTCTTTTATTTTAATTTAGTAACCTGCTGTCTTCTCTCTGTTTCAGTCCGAACAGAAGAAAAGAAGGGAGCAGATAAGCAGAGGTGCAAAGTCGTCATTTTAAGAAGCATCCAAGAAACAAGCAGAGATAAAGAAAACTGCAGCTTCTCAGTCTCCTGGGTCAGGGCTCTGCTTCAAGTTGACCTGTGCTGAGTCTTCCCTTTGTGCTTTTTGACAGACAGTAAAGGCACTGAGTCCCTCAGTCAAACTGCAGTGCCTGTTTCTGCCTCCTTATCTCCATCTGTGGCCTCATCCCTTGTTCTTCCTTGGCCATTTATTGACAGACCTTCAGCATGGACAGACAACAGCCTCCCCTCCTCCTTCCCCCCCATCATTTATGGAGGGGAATAATCCCCTCTGTACAACAATGTAGTAAAATTAATTGACACACAGCAAACCTCTATTCCTACAGAATGAATACCAAAATCAACATGTGCCTGTTTTTTTCTCTTCCGGCTTTGCATTAAATAAACCTGTAGAAAACATTTATCCACTACATTTCTGTCTGTTTACACAAGTGGGAAAAGTGTCCTTCCATTTTTATTTATTTTTTTTTGGATCCTGTAATTATTATTATTATTTTTAATTTGTGTATATGCATTTAATATGTATTTATTCTTCTTGAGCTAGTAAATAAATAGCTAATGAATTCACGGGCCAGTGAAAGGTGGGAAGCTGAGCAGGAATTTAGGAACTCTGTACTCTCTATTAGCTCCCACACTGACTTATCTGCATCCGTTTTGGGAAATCATCTGCAGGACTGAAAGAAGATCCTCCAGACCACCTGTAAATGTAATACGTTCCCCACTGAACCCACCTCCCATCCCCATGGTTTCTTCACAGTCTGGCTGCAAACAGTCTGTATGTCTCAATCTGTGTTTTGGGCTCAAAAATCCTGCTTGGGGATACTTTGCTACAGCCTGAGGTGATGCTTGAAGGTCCTTGGTATGGGAGATGGATTAGTCTGGTCTCAGGGCAGCTCTCACCCACCCTTAGCAGATCAGTACAAGCATAACCCTTAAGTTTTTCCATTTGTAAAACAGGAATAACAGTTCTGTCTCAAAAGCATGGTGACAATTATTTGCTAAGTATTTACTTGCTCTTAGTGTATGCCACTGCAAATAGCTCTGTGGAATATTTTTGGAAGGGGAGGGGATTTCTGTGCATTATAACAAAGTGTGACGATGGGTAGCAGAAATGGACTCTGAGTATTTGCAAAGTGCCTTGGGAGCTGGAGATGAAAGGCGAGATGCAAGTGCAAAGCATTATTATTCTAATGACGCCCGACTCTTGCTGAGCTGTGCCTTGTGGAAGTGTGTGAACTTTGGAGCGTGCCCTGATGAATGTGAACCATGACAGCTCTCAGGAGATGCAGGGGATGCTGGCAACAGCTTAATCAATTATGACAGCAATGGTAAGATCTGTCCAGATTAGAGCACTTCAAAAACTACAAAGCCTCAGGCTTCTCTGTCTAGGTTTTTGTGAGAGTGGGACAATGAAGGAAATGGATTGATTGGGGTTCTTTGAAATGTGGTAATAATCGCATCTGCTGCCTTAAATGCAAGACCAGCCAGACGGTGTTTTATCGTCTAAAGATGCAGGCTGGGAGAGAGGCAGTGCTGTGAGTTTTGCAGTTATGCCTGACTGCCAATGGGTGAGATATGATGTTTCCCTTGGAGAAGAGTGGGTTATCTCAGATGCGTTACTGTAAAATGAAGCAGGGATGAAGAAAAACAAAGGTAAAGCATCACACGGAAAAGATCTGGGGGAATGGGTGGCTATGCAGGAATATCAGATCAAAGGAGGACACTTTCTGTTAGGAATCAAATTATCCTCTTCCTTTCCAAGTCAAATGGGCCCATTTGAGGAATGGATAGGCGAGATAAGCCTCTCAGGGTGATTTTATCTCCCTTTCCAGTGCCTGTGTGTGTGAATCTCAAATAAACAGCAACAGAACAGAAGGGATTAGGTGAGCACAATGAATTTTGCTTGTGTGTGTGTTCAGGAGAGAAATGAAAAACGTAAAACAGGTGTGGCTCAAAATTGCCAAATCAGCAAGAAGCAGTAAATGCAGTATGATTGCAAAAATATTTCCTAAACGCTGTCCTCAGAAGCAACTTGCAGACTGGATACCTAGCCGGATGCGGTCTGCGGTAATAGATACGTAAATATTTCAGGGTACATTAAGCTGACCAGTTCCCTTGGAAGCCACCAGGTTTTCACAGGTAGCTGATCATAGAGTAGCCCAGACATTGCCCCGTGCTTCTCATTTCACCCTGGCAGCAGTGACTGTGTGCAGGGACATGTCCTACGAGGTGGCAACCAAGAGTGCAGGGTAATCACGAGCCACACAATTTATTGCCACTACTTGCCAGGTGGCCTGGCTGTGCCACTCAGGTGTCCAGGGAAGCAGGGCAGCTTTTCTGCACGGCAGTGATTCATCCATTGCTCCGTCACTGCCTGACATGCAGCAGGAGAAGGCGGGAGCCCAGCATGTAGGTCTCACGGTTGGCGTGTGAACCTAAGAGCTCTTACACAGCCCCGTGAGAAGAGTGAGAGCTACAAAACGAACCTGTAGCTGTACAATTAAGCAAGGAAGCAGGGCTGGGCTTGTTCGGGAAGCAACGCGCTGTGACTCTTGAGGGAAGAGAAGCTTTGCCAAAACATCACTGCCTGTTCCCTCTGTTGCAGGGCTAATGCCTGGTCTGAACTGAGAGGCTCACAGCAGACCTGCGGTTTTGACAGCCCTTGGTGCATTGAAGGAGAGTTTGCACAACAAAGAAATGCTAATTGCCTGCTACTGCACTGCACTGGGGTGGATTAAGCACATACCAGCAGTGCAGTCCTGGATTCAGCTGTTGCTTTGGAGGCTGATAACAGATCAACCTACAGCTCTTCCTCCCCAAGTCAAGGAGAACTCCAGGGAGAAACACATTGGTTTTACAACCTCAGGTGATAGTGTGATGTTTCCATTTCCTTAGGAAAATGGGGATCAATAACATTCACTCCCTTTGGCAAAGCACCTTGAGGTCAGCCTATGAGAGATGCTGGGGGAGTGGGGAGTCTCCTGAATTGCCATGGGCTCCTGTCCCACAGCCCACTCCATGAATCCTAAACAGCAGCAGGTGAAAACAACCAATATAAAAGCCATTTCTCTCTCAAGAGACATCAGCCTTCCTTCATGCACTGTTCACAATATCCCCCTCTGCTTTGTTCATGTCCCTGCTTAGATAGAGTTGCTCTTGATTACAAACACAGGAATCTACAATGGTGCTGATGTTTGGTAACTGATAATGGTAGACCCTGCCCCATGTATGATAAAGGGACATAAGTCAAAATGTTAGTCAGGAAGCTGATGATGAGTGCCTGGCTTTGATGTTGCAACTACTTCTCCCTCTTTATTGCATGGAGAGGCACATTCTGGCAGCCCTAAATATTAGGCAATGAATCACCTCCTTAATAACTGTAATAGGCAGCCAGAACACAGTCCACAACCTTTTGGGGTCTGTCCAGCGTCTACTTGCCTGTCTGTAAGCACACGCTTAGAAATAATAATTGACCCCTGATTCACAGGGTCAGTATTTTCACGTAGCTACATTCTAAGATGAAAAGAGAAAAGGGTTTTCTCTTGGGGTTTAATTTATAAAGAGGAGAGTTGGACAAACGTTGGACTGTCATTATGGGAACAAGAAGGGCATAATTTAAAAAAGTGAATAATATTGAAAAGTTTTATTTCCTGTTGCTATTTCTTTGTCTATTTTGTTCTAAAAAACTTGCCATTGTATGTCTGGGTAGTCACTTGAAGAATGAGAATTTGTTGCTAGTGTAAGGGAGGTTTTCAAAGGCCATCTGCCACACAGCAGATTAGTGTAGAGGAGCCACTAGCTTTTCATTTCCACAGTGGGTGGATATCTGTCCTGAGGGGTGACACAGACTGGTAGCTCTTCCTCCAATGCAATCATGATCTCCTGCATGGAGTTAAAATTGCAGCCAGAAGATGCTCTCTACATCTCCCTTATGACCCTTTGTACCCAATTTTCCTTCCCCTTGGTACCATGGAAAGAGGAGTAGAGAAGGGGCTGCTTTTTCTTGTTTTGTTACCTTCAGCTTTTACCTGTTGATGGTTACACCTGATGTCTGAATGACAAACTGAGAGAAAGTTACAGTGCTTTTTCACACTTTGACTCATTTTTATCATTAATTGTCTGTCTCTCATAGCCATAATTACAGGCCTGACTTTGTACATGGCTCTGGAAGCTAAATGACTTTGGGAAGATTACTAGGTTTGGGTTCTGTGGAGAGAATCTCATAGTTTATCAAATTGCAAAAATGACTGAGGCAATACATTGTCTTGGTGTTCACAAATGTGTTTTTTAAAATTCTGTAGCCTCCAGAAGAAGTGAGGATGCCCATTCCTGCCCTGCATTATTGCAGCATGTTTTGTACCTTGGTTTTGTTGTTGTTGCTGCTGCCATTGTTACCAGATTTCCATCTTTTCCATAAATAGTCCCACAAAGAACAAGAGCAGGTAGGTCTGCAAGAACTGAAGAAGCCTATCTTGCCTGTGCCAGCTCATAAATGATACTCCATACCAGAGTGAGAAACCTGATGAAACACCAAGCCAGATCTCACAGATTTGCAGTTATAATAGAAACAGTGAGTTGGATGAGAAATTTGAAGTAGGACGTTCTAATTCAGACAGGTCTGTGAGGTGAAAGGTAGCCTCAGTTTAAGAGCATTAAGTCTTTCCACTGATGCAGCCTACTGATTTTTGTTGCTCATTTATTTATTTAAAAATTAATTTATTTTATGTCTCTTCTCTTCTCTTCTCTTCTCTTCTCTTCTCTCCTCTTCTCTTCTCTTCTCTTCTCTTCTCTTCTCTCTTCTCTTCTCTTCTCTTCTCTTCTCTTCTCTCTCTTCTCTTCTCTTCTCTTCTCGTCTCTTCTCTCTTCTCTTCTCTTCTCTTCTCTTCTCTTTCTCCTTCTCTTCTCTTCTCTTCTCTTCTCTTCTCTTCTCTTCTTCTTCTCTTCTCTTCTCTTCTCTTCTCTTCTCTTCTCTTCTCTTCTCTTCTCTTCTCTTCTCTTCTCTTCTCTTCTCTTCTCTTCTCTTCTCTTCTCTTCTCTTCTCTATTTCTTCAATTTTTCTCTGTTTTCCTTTTTCTTTTCCTTTCCTTCTTTTCTCTCTCTCTCACTGATGTGTATATGTCATTGCCAAAGGAAAAGCCCATGAAGAGAAGAGAATACCTCAACTACAGGGTCCTAGGAAACAAAAATACCTTGCTGATTTCTACTGGGGAATCTGGCATCTTTCACCAGGCTGGGATTTATGAAGGACAATAAGAACTAGTAGCCCACAAAGACCACACAGAGAGACTAGCTTTAATATACCTGGGCTGAAGCAAGGACTGAACTTTGCTTTTTTGATTAATCTAAAAGACAGCAGCTTTGGTGGCTCTGGACCCTTCTGACAGAATCTAGCCACATTA